CCGTTGGATTCCATTTATTCGTTTGCAATTTAAAACGGTTTGCAGCAAGCAAGACGCTGAACCTCAGTAATTTGTACATTATTCCCTCCTTTCAGCGGTAAATACAGACACTCTAGTGGCGTGGAAGGCTCGTTGGCACACCATAGTATTTTTTCCATTAAGGAAATGGAGGCGCATCTCGGACGTGTGTGGCAAAACAACACCGACCTGTCCCGTCAAAAGTGGTGTCACTTATACGGTCAAGATAGACACGAATACGCACCGAAAAAAAGTGAGTAAGAGAAGATTTGCACAGTCGATATTTTCTTATATGCATGCAGCCACTTTTAACGAAAAATGTACAAAGTTACTAGTTCGAACAGTGGATTGATTCAAAGAGCACTGATGATAAGAGATATTTTCTCGTAGCCTGTTTCTTGAATGGAATTAAATAAACCATTTCGGCGAATGTAAATGACCATTTGTGGACGCCTGGCCCGAAAAGGCTATCGTTTGAAATTCAGGTGCTTTGGTCGTCCATCCATTATTCCTCCATCACGGGGTGATGTATAAGAGTTGGTAATAAAAACAAGAAGTATCCGGAATGCTCAAGGATTTTGCGGGGACAGAAATTGTGGTCAACTGAATGGCTGCTGAATCAGGTCGGATTTAGGAAACTCACCTTCCCGGCTGAAGCATGAGAGCTTTACTAAACTGTCAGTGGCAGCTTCCGTGGGCACGTGCCGAATACGTCAACAGAGGTGAGTTGCGTAGGTGGGAGGGATTTTATCAGTAGCATTTGTGTTCACGTCACATCGGGAAGGTTTGAATGAAGTTTGTTTAACAGTCAGGGCTACTGAAACTAGCTTTCCGTGAGGTTAGTTTGTTTTATTTGGTCGGCGTCCGTGTAACTAACGCATCCAATTTTTTCGGCAGTGACATCTGGATATTTCCATTTCCCGAGGACCATATTCCGAATTAGCTCTTCCTTTTTGTTTGCTGTTCGGGATTTTTCCGTTGCATGCATATGTCCGTAGATGGGACCTATTTCAGTGCATGGATTTACGAACTTGTTGTAGGGTTCCACGCTTCTTGGTTGTTTTGCATCACTTTCTACGCAAATTCATTTTAAGCCTTGCACAGCTGACGTTGTGATCTATTCGTTTTTTCTGGCTGCCAACACAGCGGACGACTTCACGAAACTATTCTGTTGTGGTTCGGGACGCAACGAGTAGTTTTGCACCTGAATTTCTAGATGCTAATCCCCGGTTTTCCACACTGAAAGTTGTTCATGTATACGAGTTTTAAGGTGTTGGTGGTTAATTAACTACCCGCTGATCACTTGGCCGTGCTTGGCAGTGCCGTGCAAGTCTTTTGTTCCGAAACGAGCATACATGGTCAGTGCGCGGTTGAGTTGTTGCTTCCTACGTTTCCATTTGCGTCCAATCGTCCCTTCGGTTGTGAAGCTTTTGTCCGTAGTGTGCTCGAAGTTTCATGGGACGTGGTGGTATTGTGGTGTTATGACAGTCTTACAGTCATTTGCTCGAAGTATGGATGTCCGGTCCGTTTACCTTCTCGGCGAACAGATCACCAGTCATCTGATCAAACACCATCAGGTAAACGGTTTTTGATGCGCACACGAATGCATACATGTATCCAACCGGGGTAGACCTCCCTCAAACAGGCCACCGATTTAGGCTGACCGGTTGGTTTGACAGGTTTGTGCCGAGTTAGCGCCGCTGCTATAATCTGGGGAGTACATCAGTACGAACTACTTGCGGGCAGCGCACGCCATTTCTGGTCATACGCTGTGTGCGGGCGCGGAGAAATTTCACCATTGCTGAGGAACCAATGCGATTCTGCAGCCCACCATTCATACAACACGTACATATATAATATATATATATATATGTATATGTATATATATACTATTTGTATATATATACTTTTGCATGGATGCTTACAGCAGATAATCACACATACATCCATGATCATTCACAATTTATCGTATGTGCTTTTCTTTAAATTTCAGTACCACGATGAAACCGAAATAGCTGTGTATGGTGGCGATAACACACCAATCGCATGTGTTTCGGTTAAAATTCTGGTGGCATAAACAATGCCCCGCTAATCCGTGATACTAACGCGAAATAATTCATTTCATCATCTCAGATTAAATTTTAATTATTCCGCATTTTCCCAAACGGAAGCTCTTTGTTTCACAACTTATTTGACATTCGCACTTGACGTTTGGCGCACATTGCTCCCTAAATCCTCTTATCCCGCTTCGTAATAATTCGGTATTTGGTAACCCAAATTTTGATGAAAAGGGCAGAAGACTGTTTTGAAATAGGCGCAGTGTTTTTCCTTGCTTTTGAGGTTTAACGCACGGATCTGAGTTTACCACACATCTGGTCATATTCGGCAATAGATGACAAATTGTTTTGCACGGAGGTGTGCGAGCACGGTTTTGGGTCCGCGAGAGAAACAATGCAATTGATAGTAAAACGAAGACAAATGATCGGCGCCGCTCACGCTCTCTTCAGGCATGGCCACCTGAAGAAGCGCTATATGATGTCACACAATATACCATGACTCAGTAAATCAAACATGCATTTTGAGTGTCTTCATTTCGTACGCAGTTACGTCAGTTACTAGCATACATGCTTTTGTAGTTATCACTGGAACACTCCAAAGTATCTCGACTAAACGACTGCAAATCGATTTGCCTAATGTCACGTCTGTGGCGCCGTCTGAACGGCACCTGTTTGGATACTCATTGTGTTCATTCTTTCCTTTAGTTTCGGAGAAACATCAGTACATTACAGATGGTCTAGAGATCGACCTCAATCACCATGAAGAGTTATGGGTCTCAGGTACATTGAGTTCGACGTTGTATTGTGAGCGGACGTTTGTTGGTGTTACTACTACCTTCGCCAATCGTTATGCCAGCAGGACGGCATGGGATGAAGAATCGTAAGACCACATTGGAAAACGTGCAGCCAAACGCTGGAACTTTGATGGCGGTCCGTCTGTACCATTACAGGCGTTATCCGTTTTTATCACGCGACAGTTGAAAATCACCGGTGGCTGACTATCTACTCAATGAAGAAGGCTGAACTTGAAATGAATGCACTGCGCGCATACCAAAGTTGATTGCATCGGGTTTCATTATATATATGTGTATATGCTTGCGGGTTAAGGAGATTGCTACCCTGGTTTCCGGCTACTCGAGAAGCTTCGTCCGCTGTACGATGCTACGAGAAATTCGGGAGAGTATCAACCTTTAACATCTTGCCTATTCGAATTCAGCTCCCTAAGGACTGACTTTCATGTTTTACGCGTCTGAGTTGCCGGTTTTGAGTTCGAACTGTGTGGAACCAACTTGAATTTTGAGTACCCTATTTCCAGGTTTCGGGATTTTCCGTACCGTCGTGGGCTTCTACGAAGCAATAGAGAGTTTACAAGTGCAACTGCAAGGGCATTTTTTCTCCCGATGTTCTTGAAAACGTGGTACCACCGGTGCAGAAAGCCGCACGATGTAGCCAATGCTGTATTCAAGATCACGCTGTTTACCCAGTTTGATACATTACAGAATGTAAGCATCGGTGTTGAAAATCGACAACACCTTGATTGCTCCCGTATTTGCTAGGCCAACCTGGCAGTGTCTCGGCACCCGCACGTCCCTCGGATAAGATGGTAGTTTGCCGTATGCGAACAATTGCATTTGTTCTGGCAATCTTGTTACATGGTCGATTTAGACTCCGTTACGTTCGCTGTTAGGGTGGAGTAATGTGTAGCCCCTTCTTATGTCGCGGAATACACCATGTTCACAGCTCCGACGACTGTCTCAGATGCACGACGTAAAAGATTCGGTAGTTCTGGTTACGCTTGTGGAGACTACATCACATTGTCCTTAAAAAACGAGGCTGTCCAGAGTGCTCCCCAAACGTCGTTGGTTACGCCTCATTATCTTCTTAGGGCGTCTGGTGCCGTGAATCTGTCTGGAGGTAGTGTGTGAAAACACCCGATAAGCAGCACGATGTGTACATGTCGTTCCGCAACTCCCATGTCTGACGCAATATTCGGCGCAACAAGTCAATCACGAGAAGTCCGATGGCGCGTGTTTATTTTTTGGAACCGCGCATGAGTAGCTTAGCGCCACCAGCTGCGAACTGTGTTATGAGTCAGGTGGCCGTCTACATAAATTGGATAAAGGGCTTAATTGACTATTACGAAATGCGGCTAACATTGGTCCTCAGGGCAATCGCTTGCTTGTCAGAAACGAGACTACGCAAACCAAATGAATAGAGCAAAAAACAGTGGGAAACCAGAGCTTATTTGAACTGAAAGCAAAGTAAAACCCCAGGAAACAATGCGGGAAGCAATGTCACATGTCGAATAGATGACAGACTCTACACAGGACCCCAAGTATAGAATACATCTAAAAACTGAAGATAATTCAATGAGATTCAAATCGCTGAGGTGGATGATCAGCTCAATGGGGGCGCTGCAGCTACCGGGGGAAATCACGCCAAAATGTTCTCGGCTGACTGATTTCAACCAAAGCGTTGCACGGAGTATAGTCTAAATTATCTATGGTGAAATTCCATAACAAACAAGATTTCGGTGGGAAGGATTATAAGCAAAACAATCACTGAAACAACTAAAAGTTTTGTTCATTTTTTCCAACTTACTTTGTGCAAAGTAATTTCACATTTTTGTTATTTCGGGTTCGCGCCCGTCCCGCCATTCTTGGCCTTTTGCCGTAAACGTGTTTTGACAATATTTTCGTACCTGTTGTCTAAATCAAAACGTGTTTACGCCGTCATGTAAATAAGATGCCCTGGGTTGGTGTGGAGTCAACAGCTCCTAAACCGGAACACAGAAGTATTCCTAACCCTACAGTTTGACGGGAAACACCATAAGCTGCAAATTATTGCAACTCTCCGGTATCTGTTTGATTCATCGTGGTCCACTCGGCGCTGTTCACTACCAAATTAACAACGGATACTGAAATGCCATATACTGATTGTGTTTAGTACGAAATACTGGCATTAACACAGCAATTGATGGCTTTGTCGTTTTTTGTCGAAGTAGCTAGGTTCGCTAAATGTCCCGTTGTCCACATGGATGTTGTTAAGCCATTTCACCCTCGTGTTGTCTAGAGCTGCATCGCCCGAGCGTGCATTCGATCATACTATGAGTCATTTTTAGTCAAACGCCATAATTTGCGAAGTAAAATTACTCAAGATTCAAGACCACAACGTGTTGCTATGTGGAGTTTGCGCTTGCTGCCCTATTTGAATAACCAAAACGACTTCCTTTGAATACCTCCGACCGGCACGGTTCTTGCTGGAACGCACTTGAAACACCGGGGATTCCCGGACCGTCAGTGCTTGCCTCATGCTGCAAAAAATAATAATTGGCATGTATGTCATTGGCCAGCGTCTTTGAGAAGCCTTTTTGAAGAGTTCCGCATATATATATACACGCCCACATAAATATTTGGACATTAAATAAAACCCTTGCAGAGGACCCCAACCTAACCGTGGCATGGATCCGAAGGCGAAATATAACGCAAACTCTTACCCTGATCTCAAACTTATCCCTTACATCAGCTCTGTCCACAATGCTAATCCAGACCTAACCATAAACCTAATGACGAAACACACCGTTATCTTGATCTCCAACATCAACTACTACACCCATATCGGCATTATATCTTTATAAAACTAGCAGTGCATTGAAAAAGGTCAATTTGCAAAATAAGAGGAAAGAAAATCAAGCGAATGCTCAAGCCAGTTAGTGAAAATTCTTCGATTGATTGATTTGCCGCCTATGTTTTCCGACTGTAAATGCCTGAGTCACTCAGGCGCATAAAATTCCCTACAAAATCACGCCGAACAAGAGTGTAGAAATTGAGCACTGCATTCACCCGCATGGTTCTGAGAACTTGAGGTATTATTCAGCACAGTGAATAGCTGGAAGCATCATCCAAGCTTCAGTAAAAAACGGTGAAGGGTGAGGAAGTTTTGCACATTCAGACGAAAAATGCATCTGGAGGTGGAATGTTTATATATTGGTACAACAGCCCAGTCCTGTTAGGGCCACTGTTCAGTACAACATTGCCGACAATCAGTTCGCATGTACATTAGAACGCTTGGCAGCTCATTTGTCTTCACACCGCTACCCAACTAAAAGCAAAGTGGGCATTCTCCGCTGCGATTCGGTGTGATGTTTCACGGCAGTTTGTGTAGTGTGTATTAGGCGTGATCAGACCACACTGCTTGTCCATGATTTCGGCAAGTGGTACGTTAGGGACTAGGGTCATTCTTGTTACCCCAATCGTCGTGATCAGTGGTCTTTGAACACTGTCAAGGTGTGTCTTCTACTAAGTTATCAATCAGTAGAAATGGTGAGAAGTTGATTTACAACGTCAAATTATACTGAACATGAGGAAGTTGGTATGCCTCGGCAAGACCTTGACACACGTTCATAAAAACCATCCATGATGCAATAAGTTGAGGTGAAGCTAAAGCACCTGTGCTTGCCAGAGACTTAGCGTCCTCGCAGAGTGTATTATTGAAAGGAAGAAGTCAATCGCTGGGGAGATGTTTATTAGAAAACACCGACTTAAAGGTTACTGACTACTTGAGAAGGAAAGCGAAACTCTCACATGCACCTAGTGTTTAAGGTCTGAATATCCGTCTTTTTCATGAACACGACTTCTTCAGCTTTCCTGGATATCCAATGACTATCAGACAAATGTTAACAAATGCTTCACAGCAATTCAAAAATTCCGCAATAAATCCCACCATCCATTAGATCTAGGTGAAGTAACGAGGAACCACATACTATTGGCATGCTTCGTCATTAGTTTCCACCATTATACGCCTTCCCCCTTTTAAGGTCGCTCGCATGCCACCGATTTTTATTTACTTCCGTTAGATATGCCCCGTCGACTGTCTTTCTTCAGCACTTTGGTTACATCATGCCAATTTCGAAGCTAAGTCTCATTTACACTTTTCGATCCCTGACCAACTTGAATTAAATAGACGTTTCTCCGGCGGTCGGGAACGACAAACTGACCTGAACTTCGACTAGGCCGCTTCTGCGACCCAAAGTGCACTCCTTCCAGGATTATGAGGGTCCTTCCACTTGGGGAATGGTCGTGCTTTTGGACTTGCCATTTGCACTCTGCTTCCTTTTTTAAGGGCGTACAAGTTTTTTTTGAATTTTCTTCCTTCCGTCCGCTAGCCCTCAGGGGAGAATCGTGTTGTCGTGCATTAGCATAAGCGGGGGCTTCCTTTTGGTTGGGTGTATTGAAGCGCGATGAGCTACTGAAAAATTTGGCAGGTTTACTTCCAGGTCGCTCATTTGGCCGCTAGCCACTCTTTGATTGTTTCGCTATTACGTTCGGCTAGACCGTTTGTTTGCGGCAGCTATGGTGCCTTTTTTAGCCCCATGATGCAGAAGTTTCTTCTAGCAGCTCCCAAAATATTCGTTCTCAAAGCAAGGCCCCTTATCGATCGGGATCATTTTTAGTATCCCATGGTTGGCCAAGACCTGATGACTAGGCACTTCGCTGATGGTCGTCGCCCGTTGATGCGGCACGGCTGCCGCCCCGACCCACCGCGGCAGGTGTTCTGTCATCAACGCGATATATCAATTTCCGCTGTTCATCATCGGAAGGGGGCCTATGAAGTCAACGGACCACAAATTGCCGATTTCTGAGACAAGAATAGGTTCCACGGAATGGGTTGCCTCTGTCGTGTACTCTTTCATTAGTTGGCACCGCTTACAGGACACCACATAATCCATCACCTTACTTCCCATCCCCAGTCAGTAGGTCATCTCTGAAGTAAATCGTGCG